AATGTTTATCTGTTTGAAGACAAAAACGATGGTCATCAGCAAGCACCAAAACAGAAGGGTGAAGGTCAATGTCGACGGAACAGATCTGGAAAGAGTAACTAGAACAACGTACCTTGGAAGTAATCTTGATGAAACTTGGGACCACTCACTAGAGATAAGAATACGCCTGGAAAAGGCACGTACAATGTTTTACAAAATGCCAAAAGTTCTATGCAACCGCCAGCTGGGCATCTCATTGAGAACTAGAATACTTAAGTGCTATGTTTTCTCCACCTTGCTCTATGGTGTTGAAGCCTGGACAATGACAGAAGCAACACAAAAAAGAATCCAAGCATTTCAACTCTGGTGTTACCGTAAAATGCTCAGAATATCCTACATGAGCCATACGACAAATGCGGAAGTCTTGCGGAGGATGAATAAGGAAAGAGAGCTTATGCTTATAATAAAAGAACGGAAAACACAATATTTTGGTCACATCATAAGAAATCAAAAGTATGAACTGCTCTAGCTTATAATCGAAGGCAAAGTCAATAGCAAAATAGGACCAGGAAGAAGACGCAACTCTTGGCTTAAAAACCTACGGCAATGGACGAACATGACCTCCATAGAACTATTCAGGGCTGCTACAAATAAGATTAAATGGGCAAATGTAATGGCCAACGTCCTTAAGGATAAGGCACCGTAAGAAGAGAAGAAGAACTCTGTTTACATATCTCTATTACTACAAGCCGGGTCCTAACTTTTTACGTATTCTTATCGCATCAACGTTCATTAAAATAGGAAGGCTACGTTGGATTGGACATGTGGAAAGAATGGAAGAAGGCGAAATACCAAACAAAATATTCAAACAAGTGCCAATAGGAAAAAGAACAAGAGGAAGACCGAAGCTGAGATACGTAGAACAAATAAAAAATGATATAACAACATTAAAAACTAAAAACTAAAAAAAAGCACGAAACAGGTCAGAATGGAGAAGAATCCTTGAACAGGCCAAGACCCAAAAAGGGTTGTCGAGCCAGTGATGATGATCGCATCTACGTGGAACTGACAGTAAGCTCACATAAGTACGTGTTAAATATTGCTATAAAGCATAGTTCAAACTATACCCTTCTTTCAGTGCGTCATTAATTTTGACGTCATATAGGATTTTAAGAATGTTGCGAATCATTTCATGACATTTCGATTCTGACAACTGTCAGATTTAACTACTAAAGTGTGCTAAATCAGTAATAATATTTCATTGTATTCAATACATTTATTTAAACATACTTTTTAACAAATGTCTGCAAGAATCAACAATATCAAAAATCCAATGTTCTAACAATGATGGCCCGAACGCATTACATTATGCGTTCATTAAAACGCACTGAGCCCTTTTGAGTCTAGCGCTAATTCTATTTTCAGCATTCATCTGGGAGGTTGAAGGTTCGTCTACTCCACGACTCTGATTCCCAATAGAGGCGTTCAATATCTATCATTATGTGCAAAATCAATATTCTTTTTAATTTCCGCTTTAACTAGGGAAGGCCTCAAGTGATAACTGTTTCGCTTGACCACTTACCCATCTACCCTATTTCCCTTCTTACCTTGGTGTTTCTATTATAATAATTTTTCTATTCGTTTCTTTTTGCCTCTAGTTTTTCCTACTCTCCCTTTATATTTATGTCTTTGTGCTTTTTATTTGATGGTAGCTTCTCTCTAAGAATCCTGTTATTCACTAATTGGGCCAGTGTTTTATGTGTTCCATTTATCGGAGTATTGCGATACTCCAGAAGCGCCATATCTAAGTCGTCACACTTTCTAAGCATGTTTTTTACAATTTGAACGGCTCGTTCTGCCTGCCCATTAGACCGTGGATAGCGGGGACTGGACGTTACCAACAGTAAATCCCAGTCTTTAGCAAATTGATGACAATGCCACAAATTATAAGGCATGTTATCTGATATGACTTCGTAGGGTATTCCGTGTGTTGAAAAAATTTTCTTTAACTCTTTGATGACCACCTGAGAAGTTTTTGAATTAATTTTCACTATATCAAGCCATTTAGAAAAATAATCGATCAGAACTAGATATGACTGTCCACTATAATCTAATATATTACTTGCTATCTTTTCAAAAGGTGCTTGAGGCAACTCTCTAAGTAGTAGTGGTTCTTTGGCGTTGTGACTTTTAAATATCTCACACTTGCTACAATTTCTTACCCAGTCTTCTATACTTTTGTTCATTTGTGGCCAATGTAATATCTGTGTTGCTCTCTGTTGGGTTTTCTGAATGCAAAAATGACTCGAATGCAATAATCTTAGCATGCTTTCTCTCATTATTTTTGGGACTATAACCCTGTCTTTGTAAAATATCAGTCCGTCAAGTAAATATAGTTCATTTCTTATATAATAATACATACCTAATAACTAATTGAATCGCTCACTATTGACAAGGTTTTGGGCCACCCTTGTATACAATATTTCTTTGAAAGTGTTAGATACTTGGGTCATATCATTGAAAGAGATGGGATGAGAGCTGACAACAAAAAAGTAGAAGCGATAAGAAAGTTGAAGGTTCCTCTACTCCATGACTTATTGGATGTATCATTAAAAATACATACATATTTATATCAAAAACAGTTAATAATGTGTGGAGGCATCCTTTAACATTATAAAGTAAACATGCTAACATGCTCATTATCAAGTTTTGTTCAAAATCTTGATACATTGCAGCTGATTCTTCCCCTAAAGCGTTGGCCAATTGTTTATTGTTCATCCATCTTCACAAGAACAAGTAGAGTTAATACGCAATCATGATACTATGACTTCCAAGATAAACCCACTTCGCAATCGAATTTTGTACGTCAACGTACATAACAACTTATGTTACAATTTTTAATATTTTCTTCTTCTTAACTTTGGATTTTTCTTTAATTTATCTATTCAATTTTCTAATTTTAAACTATAATTTACACCTAAAAAAAGATGTTTGACATCTGAACTTACGTTTACTAACACAGCTAAATCCATTGTGATTTTAAATAATTCTTGGTTAATTTTAATGACCCTTTGTTAAAAATGTTAAAAATATTGTCTA